AAGGAAAGCAAAACAAAATAAATAAACAAAAAAAAAAAGTTCTGGTTTAGGCTGCTTATGTGTAGACTTAGAAACAAAGTATAGACAATAAAGACATTTAGTATCCCTCACTCCAGTTTTCAGAATTTGATACAATCCTCTTCATAATTTACAACAGGATAAAAGGAAAATTAAATATATGCAATAATCCACTACTTAGTATAATGCTTATTTACTTTCTGCCAGTATTTAACATGCTTAAAATTTCAGTTGTACGTTTAAAAAAATAATCTTATCAGGATAAAAATTACCTTATAAAAAATAAATTGACCCTACTGCCAACTCTGAATTCATTTCCAAAGTTATTAAAAACTTTTTTCTAAATCTTAAAATTTAGCTTTAACATATAATATTTTAATAATATTTATTAACTTTTAGAATAACAAACCAGCTGGTGTCTTAATTTGTTTTGTTCCGTTATAATTATTCTTCTTGTAATCAGCACCCAAATTAATGATTCCATTCACAATTACCTAAAATCTTTATACAGACCCCCCCCAATTAGATGAGAGCTTGACAGCTTTTCAGTCCCAATTTAATCCTTTCTGAGTTTTTTAAGCCCAGTTTCAAATAAAGCATCACCAGGATAAAGCAAACATTGGAGGGGGGAAAAACACACTAAAGAATAAAAAATTAAGCAAGGTCTAAATGTTGTCCATTGAATTTTTACCATCTCACCCTGGGATCTTTCTCAGACTAGACCAGGGCATCGCTGCCTCCTGCTCAGCTCTGTCGAGCCTGAGTTCAACATTCTCCACGGAGCACCTCCCCAGAGTGTTCCTTGGGGGAGTTGCCACAGAGCCCATCTAGAACCATAGTCTCAGCATCTGACCCAGGGTTCTAGGCTCCCCGGCAGGTTCTTAGAAATGGCTGAACCTATGGCTCCTCTGTTTCAACACAGAGGAAAGCATCTCGTTAAGCACATTAATAAGGATCGCAGAGCTCAGGTTTATTGTTGTAACTCTAAGATTCAATGTGAACTGCCAAGTAATACACAGCAGCCCTTTTTTCACTTTTATATTAAGATCAGGGCTAACCCTGACAGTGTGCTCTTAAATGACAAATTACTAAGATAATCCTCCTGCAGAGAGTTACTGTTCTTGTGAAAACAGTCATAGCATTAAACTCGTCCAATAAATTCATCTAACAGTTTAATATATTTTTAAAGTTCACCATTTACCATCCTGTAAATTTAACAAGTTTTGACTTCAAAATCTGTTAAGAGCTAAATTAGACTATCTAAATCTTGTTTCCTTTGGTCCTTTTAAAAGGATAATCCCCTAGAAACTGGTCAGTTAGTTCAGTACCGTCAGAGCACAGGCCGTTCTACAGTCATCCGGTTTAGCTGCAAGATGGAGCCCCAGAGCCTGCAGCTCAGGCTTTGGCCACACCCCTGGCTAGCAGGTGTTCAGCGCCCCCGGTTTTGTTCTGCCATCTCCCCTTCCCAAACAGAACTCAGTTCCGACCTTGCTCTCAAAGGTGTGGCTCCTAATCCTCCTCTCCCTACTGCTGGGTGGGGCTAACAAGGGACTGGCCCCCAGTTACGGGACCCCTCTTCTCCATCCACTGGTCAGATACAATCTCTTCAATGGCCTATTCCCTTCACTCCTCTAAAATATTTTCCTTAGTGTTCCTGTGCCTTGATACACTCCACTTCTCGGGCTGTCACAGATTTTAAAATAAATAAGGCTGTAAGAGTTTTAATAATCAGCAGTGTACACACTGTTTTTCAATTAAATAACCATTTAAAAAGCGTAAGATGTACGCTCACCAGAGAGAGAGACAGAGGGAAATGGAAAGGCAGTGACCATGGGAATGAGCAGTCCCTTCTCCACTTCTCCCACTTTTCCAGATTTGAGACACACACGCCTGCCAAGTTTCTCAAGTCCCCAGGTCTAGGACTTGAACCCCAGGGTCAGCAATGTGGAATCTAGCTGCCTTAACCACTAGGTCATAAAACTGATCCTAAATTATAATCATTTTAAGATAGTCAGAATTTGGGCCAGTAGGTGGCCTGGAGGTTAAGGCAGTTGGATCCCACATGGCTGACTACACAATTGAGTTCCAGATCCAACAGCTTGAAAGTCGTGCTAAGCATGTGTGTGTGTGCACGTGCGTGTGTGTATATGTGTCTAACATCCCAAGAGGAGAATGGAAGAAAAGGGATTCTGGCATGGCCATCCCCTGGAGAGTGATTTCTTACTCTCCTCCTCCTCTCTTTCTCTGTCTCTCTCTCCAGCTAGCACGTGCCTGATAGCAAAACTGAAAGAAAAAAAAAAGTCCGAATTTATATGTCAGTAAGCAATGAGAGCATGCTTCATTAGACTTTAAAGTTTAGACTTAACAAGATATTTTTGTATCAATATAGTGTTTAAATCACCTAATGAACTAAAGCTGAAGTCCTTGAGCAAATAAAAACACTAGATTTTTTTCCCCCTACTGTTGCTGATGATAGGCTTTGGTTCTAGACTTGATTCCTTTAAGTAACAGCAATTGAATAATTTTAACATTCAAATATATGCAGACCACAACCTAAGCAGAGGGTGAAATGTAAATTCTAGTGAAATCTTAAATGTTTTTGTGAGTGGCTAATAAAAGCAAAATCTTGTCAGTATGTATTGGTGGGACAGGTACAAAGCAGAACACCATTTATGAAGCTGCCAATTGCATGCTTATACTGTAGCTCCGGTTTAAAGAAATATTTACATCCACATGTGAATAGGAATATCAGGTAAAGGTCAAATCCAATTATTCTATCCTTTTAAGGGATTTCCCAAATTCTTTGGGCTGAGTTTTTGTTTGTCTGGTTTTTGGGTTTTGTTTGTTTTGCTGTGCTGGTGTTGACTGAATTTATGGAGTTGTCTTAAACATGCAAATGTTACTCTGTCACAGGGTCTCCAACTTCTATAATAATCTCAATTCAAACCTGCCTTAGGAGAAGGACAAGAGAGATTAAAAACAAGAGACTAACCAAGATACTATGATTTTCCCATTATTACTCATATGGCTGGATGGAAAGGGCAAATATTGCCTAAAAACAAACAAAACAGCACAAATAAAAGGAGCAGCTAAAGTTTTTGAAATTCTAGACCTAAACTCTAAAAGAATATCAGAATTCAGGACATTGTTATATTTAATCACAATGTCATTCACCTAAAAGAAAGAAATCCGGATTTTCTACTGAGAAACTGCTTTGTTGTGATAATGGAAAGTTACATTCCATGTGAACCAGTGAGAGAGTTCTGCCCACAGGAAGCAACACTGGCAGTTTATGGAACCTACAAGGAAGCTAAATATATACATACACACACACACACACACACACACACACACACACACACATACATATAGTATTATACATATATAATGTATATATTTATATCATATATGCATTTAAAACATACATATTGAATATATACTTGTTTTAAAATATCCCAGTCCAGTAGATGCAGGTTTACTTCTCATAAATATTTAAAACTGGCTAGAATGTAGGAGGTTTTAAAAATGAGTATGCTTTTACAATTATTTTGTTTTAAAAGATTTGGCTAAATGCTTCAATCTTACATAAATCAGCCCCTTATTCCTAACCTTGGAAAACCTCCTGGTTTTTTCTTGCCTATCAAGGTTCAGACACAGAATGCTAAATTTTCCATGTCAGACATCCTTGCTTTTTGAAAGAAATTATTCAATTCATAACCTGGGTTACCAGCTATTGTAAATAAAACCCACATAGAACTAGTATTTTATGAATATGATGCTTCTAAATCCTCTTGTGTAATATTGTAGTTTCAGATGGCTCTGAACAGTTAATATTGGTCACTGTCATCAATATTTATTTGTTTAAAAGAATTATTATTTAGCTTTATTAATTTATTTTTTATTTTGACCAAAGAGAGAGAGAAAGTGAGAAAGTAAGATGCCAGGTCTGGGACTTGAACCATGGTTGGCCATGTGGGAGTCAAGTGCCCTTGACAATGTGGGAGTCCAGTGCCCTTAACCACCACACCACCTGCCAGCCCCATCAATATTTATTATATAGCAATAGGCAGTAAGAATCAACTTTGCATCTGCAAAGTAATCATTAGTGTGCTTTTGGAAGAATTCTGTCACTTCTGTGGATTCTTTTCCACTGGCTTATAGAAAAATAGATTTTCTTGCACAGCAAACATGAACTACAGCTTTTGCTTCAAAAAGGCAGTCAATCCTCAGCAGACCTTTGTTAAGATGCCATGGGGGGTGGGGTGGGGGGTGACCCAATTCACTGGTGAGTAAACCAATTCTAAAAGGAAACTGTCAGTCATTCCTTTTTGCAATCTGTCCTCGACAGTCTGCTTCAGTTTATTTAAAATGCTACAGGGAACTGATGAGGCAGCATTCTCTTTTCTCTGGCAAGACTGTCACTGATAACCAGAAATACCAATTTAGACAGGTAACACGGGAAATACACAAGGATAACTGAAACCTAAAATTGGGTTTAATGGGACCAGTTGGTAGCATAGTGGTTAAGGCAGCTGGATCCCACATGGCTTACTGTGTGGTTTGAGTCCCAGACACAGCAGCTTGAAAAGTAGCCGGGCACGTGTGCGTACATGCCCAAAATCCTGAGAGGAGAACCAAGATGGAATTGTAGCGTGATCATCCTACCTGAGGGGTGCTTTCTCACTTTCCAGCTCTTTCTCTCTCTCACTCTCTCCAGTTCTCTCTCACTCTGGGGAGCATACATGCCCTATAGCAAATTAAAAAAAAACCTTAACAACAGAAATTCTCATAAACTAGGACTAGCAGTAGGCGTAATGGCTATGTGGCTGGACTCCATGTAGTCGACCGCGGTTCGAGTCCCAGACTCGGTGGCTTAAACTCATGCCAGGTGTGTGTGTGTGTGCCCAAGATCCTGAGAGGAGAACGGAGGAGAAGGGATTGCAGCATGGCCATTACCCCTGGCGGTGTGTGTGTGTGTGTGTGTGTGTGTGTGTGATTTCTTGCTTTCTGTCTCTTTGTCTCTTTCTAGTGAGCACATACGCCCTATAGCAAAAATCTCTAAAAAAAAGAAATTCTCATGAACAAAGAGAGGGAGTTCCCACTACTTTTTCTGATTCAGAAAAGCTCTTTCCTAACCTACTCTAAACAAACAAGCATGACTGAAAACATCAAGTATACTGCAAAGGGTGTCCTACGTATTATCAAGCTGGCGAGCATAATGCCACAAACCTACCCAGCCATCACTCTCCTGATGAGACAGTGCCGTGGCTCTCTGCCGTCAAGAGAGGAATGGTGCTTTCCCACTAAAAGCCAGAGATCCCACTGCTGTCTGGGGAGCAAAGACAGAAAATACAGAAGCCCAAGTAATGACAAACTTGCTTAGTTCTGGCCTGGTGCTCCAGAAGCCTCGTGACCTGTTGGTACTGACCTGCCGGTACAAGAGCATGTGCGACATTCTTTCCCTGCCTCCTCTCCGCTCCCTCCCCACAGAGCCTTGAGAAGATGAGGCTCCAGCACCTCGAATGCAAACCGACTTTACTCCTTCCTGGAGACAGGAGAATCCAAATGAGCAGTCCCTAAAACAAGACAGTAATTAAGCATGGAGCTACTTTATAGCTCCATTCAATTGGTATTTATGGCATTCCAAGAATACATCATTTCTTCAGGAAAGCTTGAAACCACTGTTTTCTTGGTTCTGAGTCTGCCCCGTGACAAGCTCTGCTGCATCTGAGTCTATACAAAGGCCATGAGAGTCTAAAGCTGATGATCTAGTCAATAGGCGAGCATTTCAAGTGTGCAACATTTTCCAGTTCCACAGTGGAAAACATTGCACATGAAATTCTGAACAATTGATTAGCCATTATTTTTTCTTCCATCTACTTTCTCAATCACTGGAAAGACTGAGACCATTAAGAACACATACTCCTTTCTGATTCTGAGATTCGACTGCAAAAGCCATTGCTTCATACACACTATAGAAGAGAAGGTTTTCTTCCTCTTTTTTACAATATTCTCCCCTGGCCAGGGAATTCCTCACAGAGGGATTACACTGAGCCAGCAAAACCTGGATGCCAATGGCTTCGTAATCTCTGCGAACTTCCTTCAGTGTATTGATCCCTGCTGTATCTAAAAACTGTATTGCACTGCAGTCAATCACTATAGTATGCAGCTCCAAGGGATCATGGGAAAGTTGCACCGAGACTTCATCCTGGATTCCACTACTGAACGTCACTGTTTCCTCTTTGGTTTTTCTCTTTGCTGCCTTCTTCCGAGCTACTTTTACTAAGACTGGGTTGAGAGTTTTTTTGTATAAAGCAGATTTAAAGCATTCTTTGTTTATGTAGTAAAGAGGAGCTATAAAGCGGAAAATCTTGATGCCTGGTTTAGTCTGAAGGTTCTTATAAGCAGACACACATTCAAAGATTTCAGACTCTTCCACCAAGCCAAGCAATGAAACCTTTGGCTTCTGAGTGCGGAGGATGACACAAAACATAGAAAAACAAACCCCAACCAGCAGGCCTATTTCAGTACTTAACAGTGCAGAAGAGAGCATAGTGACAAACCAGATAACTGTGTCCATTCTGCTGACTTTCCACATCTTAGGCAGATCCCTAAACTTACGAAGGGCTCCCCGGAGATTTACAATTGTGATCACACCAAGGACACTTTTCTGAAGCGAATAGAATAAAGGTGCTATTACCAGGAGGACCAACAAAAGAACCAGGGCTGTCACCACACCGGAGAGCTGAGTCTGGCAGCCTGTTGATTCTTTAACCAGCGTCTTTGCGAGAGCTGCGCTAGTAGTAAAGCAGTGGAAGAAGGAAGGGATGATATTACAAAAGCCAATAGCATACATTTCCTGGTTCGCTCTGACTGTGTAGCCATGTTTCTTGGCAAACATCTCAGAAAGTGACACAGTGATAGCAAAACCAATAATAGATATAGCTATTGCATCAACAGCCACACTAGGAATTAGGTTCCAATCGGGTGCTTTGGGTGGCATAAACCCAGTGGGAATATGTTCGGCGATACTGGAATTGTAATTCTCATGCAGTTTTCCGAAATGAGAAGCTAATGTGGCTGCCACGATGACAATGAGTTCAGTGGGTATTGGTGCCTTAAGCTTGGACTTGAAGTGCTCATTGAGTTCTTTGGTTGGCAAAAGAACTAAAAGGCACAAAAGGCTGGTGATGAGATCACAGAGATTGGTCTTGTGGATGTTTCTGAAGATATGTATCCAGGTAGTGATGAGTGAGCCCACACCGTTACTCCGAGGAAGGCTGAGTCCAAGGAGATACTTGGCCTGAGATGTAAGAATAGTGAAGGAGGCACCAGTGACAAATCCACTGAGCAAGGCATCTGAGAGGTAGACAGAAACAAAGCCCACTTGAAAGAAGCCCATCGCTACCTGGAAGGAAGAATATACAAATGTTAAATGTTAAGTGGAAAAGAGCTTCTAAATATTGTATCACCCTGACATTTTTTTGCTTGTTTTTGCTATAGGGTGTGTATGCTCACCAGAGAATGAGAGAGGGAAAATAAGAAATCACTCCCCAGCCGGGATGACCAAGCTGCAATCTGTTCTCCTCTCAGAATTTTAGGCATGCAAACACACATACCCAGCATGTTTTTCAAGCTACCAGGTCTGAGATTCAAACTGTGCTATTAGCCAAGTGGGATCCTGTGCCTTAACTACCACACCACCTCCTGACCTCTATCCTGACTTTTCTTGCATGGGAAATACCATTAGAGCACCACAGCAAGTCAGAGCTAGAATAAATGCAGCTGCATATCAGCCTTCTCACTTTACAGACAGGAAACTGACGTTTAGAGGGCTAAGCAACTTGCCCCAAGGTGACACTTACTCATTGGCCCAGCTGAAACATGAACTTAGAATTTCAACCTTCTTTTACGAGGTTTCTTAAGTTTGAATAAGGTTCAGACCACTTTTAAAGAAAAAACATTTTCAAGGATCCATGAGAAACCATAAAAACTCAATTTAGAAAAAAACTCAAATTCTTTCTTATGAGGAAACCATATTTTCTTTAAATTACAAATCATTACTATAAAAGTTTCAACTGGTAAAACATATAACTAGATTTACATCAGAATAGAACTATGTTTTAAAAATTACCCATAGGGGCTGGCAGGTGGCTTTGTGCTAGAGGTGTGAGACTCCCACATGGATGACCATGGTTCAAGTCCCAGACCTGGCAGCTTCCTTTCTCACTTTCCCTTTCTCTCTTTGTAATAATAAATAAATAAATTTAAATAAATAATTTAAAAAAAAATATCCATAGAACTCTCTTTATCGGATCGAGAAACTTCTCATCCAGCATATATGTACTTATGTCATATTGCTTCCCACATTAATCCATCTTCAAAGATACAACTGTCTAAAGCCGAGTTGTGATGTAATGGTGCTACAGCTGGACCTACATAGGAAAGGTCCTGAGTTCATGTCCTATCACCTCCCTGAGCATGCTGGGCACACATATGTAAACTTAAAAATAAAAGATAATGGGGCCGGCAGGTGGCGTAGTGATTAAGGCACTGACTCCCACATGGCCGACTGCAGTTCAAGTCCCAAACCTGGTGGCTTGCTTTCTCACTTTCTGGCTCCCATTTTTTGTGCGTCCATGTTGGAAAAAAAAAAAAAAAAAAAAAAAAAAAAAAAGATAATAATAAAATAAAATAAGAGATTCTTAAAAAAAAATAAAAGATAGGGACCAGAGTTAGCATAATGGCTGTGTCGCTGGACTCCCACATAGTCGACCGCAGTTCGAGTACCGGACCCGGTGGCTTAAACTCACGCCAGGTGCGCGTGTGTGCCCAAGATCCCGAGAGGAGAATGGAGGAGAAGGGATTGCGGCATGGCCATCTCCCCTGGGGGGTGATTTCTCGCTTTCTGTCTCTCTCTGGCTGGCTGGCGAGCGCACGCACCCTATAGCAAAAAAATAAAAGATAAAACTGTTTTATTTCTCCCTCTTCCCAATAATTCCCCCAGAATTCTATTATGCCTTCATCACTCTTGGTGAAGCATACTAACAAAAAAGCAGAAGTGTACTTTGAGAGGTCTCTATGGCCCAGTGGTTAAGGGAACCAAATCCCACATGGCTCACCAAGTGGTTCAAATCCTGAACCCAACAGCTTGAAAACCTGTGCCAAGTGTGTGTGTACCCAAAATTCTGAGAGGTTAGAGAAATGGTGTGACCACACCCTACTGGGGAATGTTTGCGTCTCTATCTTTCTATGTTTCTCTCTCTCTCTGTGACTAGTGCATGTGCCCGCCCTTTGGCAAACAAAAAAACCACAAACAAACAACAACTGGACTTTGAGGAGTACACCTCATCTACACACAACCTCCCCATCCACATATCAAAGTGAGCTACTCTTCCCCTTCCCTTCTGGATTCCAAACACCTGTAATAGAAAAGAGGGTTAATGCTGGCACTGACTTCTGGATAGCAAGAGGCAGGGGGATGACAGCAGATCAGTGGGTTAATTAACAGGAGACTCAGGAAGAATTTCATTTCTAGTCCCTTTTTCTGGTTGATAATATGAAACAGTGGTCCCGACTTTTCCCTCCCTCAATAATCTGAGAACTACTATCTTCAGTAAGAGTCACTCTAAATTCTAAAGACAGTAGGGGACATCTATAATACAAAGCACTGCACTCCTTCTCTCCCAGCCCCCATTCTGTTACTATTCTGGCTGACTGCTAATGCTAACTGCCAATAACATAATCGCAGGCAAACCCAATGCTTCTGGTCAGAGGTCTCTTTCTGGTCTGAATTTTTACAACCAAAAATTAAAATCTGGCTGACCAAAACTCCTTGGTTAAGAGGTAACCTAGGGTTATGAAAGAGAACCAGCTTTATCATACTAATGGTGTTAGAACCAACACTTGAATTTTTCTCTACACTGAAACACAGGCTGAAAGGAGGAATAATGATGCCCTGCACTTTCATTTGGAGGATCCTGTGTCTCTAGGCCCTAAACTGCAGAAAGAGCACCATAAGCTCTACCACAAGGACAGGAGGTAAAAATAACCAAAAAAAGAGAAAGGACACCAAAAAATAGGAGGAAAAGAATCAGGTTCCCTAAGCAGTACAGTGTAAACTGTTTACCAAATACTTAACAAATACTGTTTACCAAACAGTTCACATGTCCTGAGCACTCAAAAGTGACAGCTCTCATTGTGAGTCCTAAGATCCCTTAGAGACCTACAGTTTCATTGACTACTTTGGCCAGAAACAACCAGTTGTTCCCGTCTCTTACCTGATAAACTCCAGCCATAAAGGTTACAGTACTGCCAACTGTAATTGCATAGCAACTTTTGTCACATAATCTATGTGATGTCTGGTTTAATAATGTGCTCCCATTTGAAACCATTCCTGAAGAAGGAGGAACATAGGCAGGGTCATAGCCAGCTTTGTGTAGTTCTCGGTCAACTACCTCACCAATCATAAGGCACAGAATTCCAAAAATGCCCACAGAGATGTGGCGGGAGGTTCCCAAAAGGAAGTAAATGATGCTGGCAAAAAAAGATGTGTACAGACCGTAGATAGGCTCTTGGCCAGCCAAGAGCGAGTAAGCAATGGACTGGGGCACCAATAAGATGCCCACAATCAAGCCAGACATCAGATCTCCTAAAATGTTTTTCTTTAGATCATACTTCGGGAGCCATCGCAAAACAGGAAGAAAATCAAAAACTGTATTTTTGACTTTGGTTGAGCTGCACTGGCAACTCTTCTGTAGCTTTTTGATGACAAACTGCTTGAAGTTAGTATCTGATTTTTCTCGAAGTTCCATATGGATCCTAGGATGAGGTCTGCATTGATCACTGGTTTCAAATTTCTTGAAGTCAGTACTCGATTCCTTTTGAGGCCCCACAGGGATTCCAGACAGAGTACTGTCATTTCCTTCAGCTGAGTCTTTGGGTGAAAGGTCATATTGTTCTTTACTTTCTGAAGACATATCTGGAGATAGATGGTTGAGCTTCCTGTCCCAGAGAAAACACCAGTATTAACTGATAAAGTAATCCTCATTTCTTACATATAACTAACAATTCTACTAGTCATTCCTGAAAGTTAAGAGGAATTCAATTTGGGGGTATGTTGTATCTACTTTCCTTAATTGAGCCTCATTTGTCTTGATGTGGGGATGGGGCATAGGAGGGAAGACCAGAACAAGACCATAAATGGCCAGGTTGTTTTTAGAAATAAAAACAAAAAGAAACTCGAGCAGAATGCATCTGGATCTCTGAACAGCACTCCCTTGCCTGGGAAGAAAAGACGAGAGGGAAGCTGATGAGAGGGTGCTAAAGCTTATGGGGAAGGGTGATGGGGCAAGTGTCTAACATACGCTATAGAAAGTCTTGGTTTATTCTGCTGTGTTCCAGTGTGGAGTTACCTGCCCTGTAGGCAAGGTCCACATTCACGAAAAGAAAGATTTGCTTTCCTATTCCAAGTTCACACTCTGAAACACAGGCTGAAAGGAGGAATAATGATGCCCTGCACTTCCATTTGGAGGATCCTGTGTCTCTAGGCCCTAAACTGCAGAAAGATCACCATAAGCTCTACCACAAGGACAGGAGGTAAAAATAACCGAAAAGAGAGAATGGACACCAAAAAATAGGAGGAAAAAAACCAGGTTCCCTAAGCAGTACAATGTAAACTGTTTACCAAATACTTAACAACTTAAGTGCCTCTACATGAGCTGCTTGCTTAGCTTAGGACAGCCATCTACCTCTCTGCCTATCAAGATCCCAATCACTTTTAAAACCCACTTAAGGGATCAGCAGGTGGTGTAATGGTTACATTGCTGGACTCCCACATGGTCAACTGTGGTTTGAGTCCTGGACCCAGCAGCTTCAAACTCAGGCTGGGTGCATGTGATTATGTATACCCATAATCCTGAGAGGAGAATGCAAGAGAAGGGATTGCAGTGTGGCCATCCCCACGGGGGGTTGATTTCTCGCTTTCTGTCTCTCTCCGACTCTACGGTAAGGACAAGTGTGCCCTATAGCAAAAATCTCTCTCAAAAAAAACAAAACAAAACAAAAGAAACAAACAAAACAAAACAAAACAAACAAACAAACAAACAAACCCCAAATTAAAAAAAATACTCAAGGGACCAGCAGATGTTGTAATGGTTACATCTCTGGACTCCCACGTAGTTGACCACAGTTCAAGTCCTGGACCTGGTAGCTTAAAATTCATGCCAGGTGCGTTTGCATGCATGCCCAAGATTCTGACAGGAGAATAGAGAAAAAGGGATTGTGGTGTGGCCATCTTCCCTAGGGGGATAATTTCTTACTTTCTATCTCTTGTCTCTCTTTATCTCCCCAGTGAGCACATGTGCCCTATAGCAAAAATTTCTTAAAAAAAAAAAAAAAAAAAAAAAAAGCTGGGACCAGCAGATGGTGTAATGGTTATGTCACTAACTCCCATATAGTCAACTGCTGTTCGAGTCCCAGACCCAGGGGCTTCAAACTTGTGTTGGGCCCAAAACCCCAAGAGGAGAATAGAGGAGAAAGGATTGATGCATGTCCATCCTCTCTGGAGGGTAATTTCTTGTTTTCTGTCTGTCTGTCTCTGTTTCTCCAGTGAGTGCATGTGCCCTATAGCAAAAAAAAAACTCTCTCTCTAAAAACAAAACAAAACAAAACAAAACAAAAAAACAAAACCCAAACCACTTAAAATGCTACCCCTTGTACAAGGCACTTACCAATTTCCCCTAGTCCAAATGAATCACTACTCTCTCTGGGGCCATAGCATTTGGCACGCCATAATACCATCAACAACACTCTTGAACTAGTTAAGCAGGGGTCTCTCCAGCTCCTAGAGTAGTGTAATCCTCAGTGAATGCAGGAGACAGCAAGCTTACAGTAAATTAAGGAAATGTTTGAATGAAGAAAATAACAAATGAACAAATTTATGACTACAGCCAGAAAAAAAGACAAAATATACTAGATTGAAGACTCAGCAATTTCCTGTTTTGGAATTGATAGAAAAACGGGCCCTGATAGGGGTCTATAAATTGAACATTACCAACATCACAACCCAGGGCCCATGAGCTATTCAGGAACACAAAGATATGTAAATGGAACCCATATGTATTTTTGTTTTAGTTAAAGCAACAGTAAAATAACAGTTATTCTGATGTTCTTGTGAACTAGATGAGAAAAGAAGATTAGAGTTAGATGACCACTGACCCTGAGCAAGTCAATCAGATTGGTGGGTAGACCCAGCAGCTCTCTGTTCCTCCATGCGACTGGTAACCCCTTCTCATTTCCTGCTTTCATGTGCTGCCTTGAGTGTGCTTCTTGTGTTTTATTTTGGAGAGTTCTTGGCGATTTCAGGGTCAAATGGCTTTTCCAAACCTAAGATATGCAAAAAAAAAAAAAAAAAAGGCATAAGAAAAAGCTAACCAAATAACAAATCAACTAATTATAAAGAAAAACAAAAAACTAACCAAATCCAAATCTTGCCCTCTATGGCTGCTATCTGGAAAGAAAAAAAATAAAAACTAATACCAGGAAGTACAAAAGAGAACGGAAACTGTAAGAAAGAATCAAATAGAAATGCTGAAAGTGAAAAACATAACAATAGAAAGAAAGAATGCCCTTCACAGTATCTGTAGTTTTTGGAGAGCCAAAAAAAATAAAAAAATAAAAATAAAAAATCAATGAACTCAAAGATAGCTTAAGAGAAATTATCTAAACTGAAACACAAAAACACAATTTAAATAACAAAATGAAAATACCCAGTAACAACAACATAACAGAGCATCTAAGAGTTGTAGGGCTCATCAACTATCTGAGAAATGATTAATTAGAATCCCAAAAGCAGAAAGAATGGGTAGAAATACTTGAAGAAGTAATGGACACCATTTTTCCAAAATGAATGACAAACATTGAACTATAGATCCAAGAATCTCAGAGAATACCAAAAAAGATAAAGATAAAAGCGAAGCCACAATGGTGCAGGTCTGGGATGCTGCTGTGTGATGCCAGGGCCAAAGGGTAAGGCCTGGGCTTCAGATCCTGGGTCAACCTGAACATGCACACTCACAGTCCTGGCTGGCTGGAGTTAGAGGGACAAGACCCTGCTGGTGATCCCTGTCTGTCTTCCTCTTAATAAATAAAATAATGAAAATATATATCCCTATATACATACATACATACAAATACAATTAACTTTGGAAGAGAGTATCTAAGCCAATGTTTTACTTCTTTTTGTAATATTTCTCCAAGAATAGTTATATTTAAAGTATAACTTCAGTGAATACATTTAGTGACATAATATTAATCAGATTCTGGAATTTTCCTAAGAGATCCAGGCCACTTAAAACTAAGCATACATCCTGTCTTGACTATTGTGTGGTATGCATGTTTGTCTACCTGTATTTTTTTTTAATTTTTCCGTTGTTTTTGCTTTTCTTGTCTGTGTGTATGTAAGTCAGCTGCTTTTAACACATAACATCATCTATAACCACACGTCATAAGAGTCAACAGAAAGCAACCTGGTTGGCCAGAGCTCTGCATTCCAGGCAGCCACAGATCTCAGTCCCCACCATGGGTGTATTTTTCACTGAGAAAGTTCACATTTAATGATCCAATCGTTAGGTAGCAGTTTTCCTGATTTATAGGATTTTTTTTTTTTTTTTTGGAGAGGTTTTTGCTATAGGGTGTGTGCGCTCGCCAGACAGAGACAGACAGAGAGACAGAGAGACAGAAAGTGAGAAATCAACGCCTGGGGGGGATGGCCACGCTGCAATCCCTTCTCCTCCATTCTCCTCTCGGGATCTTGGGCACGCACGCACACACGCCCAGCGTGAGTTTAAGCCACTGGGTCCGGGACTTGAACCGTGGTCAACTACGTGGGAGTCCAGCAACATAGCCATTACGCTAACTGCTAGTCCCCTGATTTATAGGATTTTAGAGCTAGAAAAGATGATGAAATCTACCCCCACATTTCTTAGGTAAGGGATAATGGCTCAGAATAGTGAAATCATTTGTTAATTTAAGGTAGAGCTGGAGCTGGAACCAAGCGTTGTGACCTTTCTCCTCTAATAAGCTGGCTATGCTCGTCTCTCTGTGTGTATATAAAGCCATCAGACAGTAAGGAAATAAGAACATTTTCTCATCAAGAAAATGAGAGTCAACCCCAAAATAACCTGGAGATCTATTATTTGTGAGAAACTAATTCTTAACATCAACCCAATACTAATGTGAACAAGCCATCTACCAAAAAATAAGTCTTCTCTTTTATATGGAAAAATCCCAGTTACACTAGGAGGGAAGAAGAGTGGGCTGTGGGGTTGGAACACAATTTTCTGTACTCGCACCAGTGGTCAACAGCAGAATAATGACTGATTCAAACCTCCACTCTGTATCCTGACTACTTACTTGGAAGCTTTTTAAGTGTTCAGAAAAATCGAAAGAACACACACAGCTTGTACAATCACCATTTGCCTATTTAACAATTTACCAGTCTTTATAAAATGTTACATAAATGCACTGTCTCTCTACATCCAGGTTTGTTTCTCTGAACTGTCTGAAAGTTTTAGGAATGATTCAGCCTTAAACACTTTTTTCAAACACTGTATTACCTACCTTTCCTCCAAGAGAAGCATTTATTAACAATTTAAAGTCAGCCTTCAGATATGCTCTTCAAAATCTGCGATGACTCCCCATCTCTTATCAAATACAGTCTAAGAACTCCAGATTTCTGTGAACAAGCCTGAGGCTGCCTCATGGCCTCCTCCCATGCACCAGCGCAGCGTTCCAGTCACCACTCCCTGAAAAACGGAGTAGCTTCTGCTCCTCCGGGCCTTTGCTTTCCCTTCCATCTGCCTCAATCGTAGTCTCTTTCCTAATCCTACGAGACCCAGCTCACACGAAAATAAGGGGAACTGATATTTCTAAAGCTGGTCCTCTCCCCACATGTGACAGATAACCATTTAGCACTTACGTTAACGTGTCTCTCCAACTTCAGCCCGTTTATAGCAGGCACCACGTATGTCACCTAGGTTTTTACATAACCCAGCCTCGAACACAACGCCTCACCCCTCACTGGTATGCATGATTACGTCTATTTACTGAAGTGAACAAATAGGTGACATTTTAAGTAAATTCAATGAAAATGATAAAAAACTTATGTTCCAGTTACCACAATTAACATTTGTCTGTAACGCAAAAAGTACTATAAGACTTCTATCAATAGTCCAAGCACTATAACATAATGGTTCCAGTAGTAAGTCCAATCCGAGATAAAAAATGACAAAATACTCAAGAAGAAAATAATTCAATGTAAAACCACAATTAAATAATAGATCTCTGTACAGTACTTCACAGCTTTCAAAAAGATTACATATGCACACATCTCCTACTTGTCCCCTCACTAATTCAGAAAAACAGTGTATGAATCCCCATTTTCTAGAATGAGTACAATCAAGGTTTACTCACTCACTCTATTGGCAGGACCATTTTTAGAATTTTTTATTTATCATTATTATTGTTTAAATTTGCTACAGAGCATGTGCACTCACCAGAGACAGACAGAGAGGGAGAGAGGGAAAGCGAAAAAGCAAGTCATCAGGTCTGGGATTCAAACCACAGTTGGCCATGTGAGAGTACAGTGCAATCACCACGCCACTTGCCAGCCTCATGTAGGGCCAGATTTTCAAACCCCATCTTCCATTTTCCATGTTTAGTGTTCTTTCTACAATACCACACTGCTCCAAATTTGTGTCCCTGTTAAGAGGTTTTAAGTGCTAGTTCAAGGCACCAATCTGTGACCAAGTACTCAATCATCTCACTTCTAAGTCTATTAGCAACTTTAAAAAAGTGAAGCAAACAGGTGGTATTGTGGTTAAAGCACTGGATCCCACATGGCTGACTCTGCAGTTCAAGTCCCAGGCCTGCTGGCCTGAAAAACAGGCCAGATGTTTGTTGACGTGTGCCCCAAATCTCAAGAGGAGAATGGAGAAGGGACTACAGCATGGCCATTCCCTCAGGGGAAGATTTCTCACTTTCCCTCTCTCTCTGTGTGTATCTTTCTTTGTGTTTCTCTGGCAAGTGCATACACCCTATGGCAAAAATCTAAAAAGTCAAAAAGTGAAGCAAACAAACTGCTGAAAGCAGGTGTGGTAGCAGGATTAACACTGCATTGCTTTTATGTTTCATACTATACACACGATAGTAACTTTCCCCTACAGAATAATTAGCAACCCAGACAAGGGTCAGATAGAAGAAAGCCCCTCTAACTTGCTCCCTCTCTCTTTTTTAGGTGTTTTCCATGCTTTTGCTGGCCTCTCTCACTTCCCCCTTTCTTTATTTTAGGTGTTTCCTCAAATGGCATCTTACCAATCAGTTCTTTCACCGTCATCTCCTTGTCTCCCTCTCAGGTCTCTTTCTGCTTTGCATTCCTAATCCCCTTTGTTTTTTCTTTTTCTTTCTTTCTTTTTTTTTACATTTTTCTCCAAGGCCCTTCTCACTCTTTCATTCTACACATTTACTTTTCTGTTAATCATCTGTCTTTCCCATTAGGGCACTGACTTGCCCTGCTTTGTTCAAACAAAATTATTAACAAATTATTATTGAGTGGATGAATAACAGTTTGATAGCTATGTGGAAGGAGAAAGGATTTACTTTCTCCATTCTCACCTAACTTACCAGCCCCTGCCCCTATGCCCTACACACAATAACGAAGCAAGAAATTCTGTTGGGCAAGCACCTGCCGAAAGGTTCATGCTCACTAAAAGTGTGATGTTGGACTGGCCTGTAGTCCAGTGGTTAAGTGCTGTGCAGAGAAAGCTGGATTTCATTGGCCCACCCCACTTGGAATCCTGGTCCCCCAGCTTGACAAACACACCTGATGTGTGCATGCCCCAAATCCTGACAGAATAGAGGAATGGAAGAAAGAGAATTACAGTATGACCACACCTCACTGGGTGTTTGCGGTGTGTGTGTGTGTGTGTGTGTGTGTGTGTATGTCTTTTACTCACTAGAAAAGAAAGGAAAAAGAAAGTGTGAAGTCTGTTTCCAAATATTCCGAGTAAACCCAATGTGGACCTCTCCAAGCCCTGCATATGTTCCTCTCTAGTTCTTCCCCTAGGAGGCAGCAAATTACAGTAATTATTATTTTCAAATACTGAGTCAAAATGCAAATTCTTAGGTCTGTGCCTGCAAATCCAAGTATGAGATCCTAGGTTCTGCACCCTAAGTGATTCTAAGTCAGTGTGCTCAGAGACACAAATGGGGAATCACTGGATACTTCCTGGAAGTCAGATGTCTACTCAGATCTCATCTACTCAGATCCCAGCTACGCTGCATGGCACTGAGTGAACGCTTCACTTTATTCCGAATCAACTCCTGACCTGTTATGGGGATAACACGACCTGTGTGGCTGTTGCAATGCTAACACAGTCAGGTACTGAGTGCCTGGCTCATGACATGTAGGCAATAAATGACAGCTACTACTCTCTGTCCCTTGCTATCTCCTGCCCTAAGATTCCTGAAGGAACAACAACAACAAAAAAGGACTAATATCTCTCCATCTTTGGCCTTCCGCTTCTTATTGATACATTTTTTTTTTTGAGAGTTTTGCTATAGGGCACATGCACTTGCCAGAAAGAGAGAGAGAAAGCGAGAAATCACACCCCAGGGGGGATGTCCACGCCACAATCCCTTCTCCTCCATACTCCTCTTGGATCTTGGGCATTCATGCACACACGCCTGGCGTGAGTTTAAGCCACCGGGTCTGGGCCTCAAACCGCGGCTGACTACACGGGAGTCCAGCGACATAGCCATTACGCTAACTGCTGGTCCCTTATTGATAGAATTTTTGAAAATAATAATTTCTGTTTAACTCAAAATTAGATATCACATTAGTTCTGATTTCTATAAAAAGTCATGAGAACAAGGAAGGCGGCAAAAAGGACTAGAATGGGTGCCAAAACAGTTTACCTTCTGAATGCCTCTAACTCACTGTGGTCCTCATCTGTGCAAGGTCGGGACACATCCTGATACTGAGTTTGGCAGGGCTGGGTGATTTTAGGCAAGGCTCTAGCCCTCTATTTCTTCTCAGTGTAACAACCCCCACTCTCACCCCTTCTTTCCAATGAAGAACATCAAGTCAGAGTTTGAGTGAAGTACAGGTCCTGATTTTGTACACAGTGTATGAGTCTAAAAAAAGTACAGCTCCTGGGCCAGCTGGTGGTGGTGAAGCGGCTAGATCTCACATGGCCAATAGAAGGGTTCAAGTCTCAGCCCCACAGTTTGAAAAACATTCTGGGAGAGTGTGCATGCACGCCCACTCTCAAGGAGAATGGAGAAGGGGCTGCAGTGTGGCCATCCACAGGGGAGAGGGGTGGGAATGCACACGCTCCCTATAACAACAAAAAAAGTACAGGTCCTTATTTTGTACTTAACCATATGTGTTAAACCAGTTTTTATCACAAACAACAACAAAACCCATAGCCTCTTGCCTCTGCAGGTCTCATTTTTCCCACTGGACTAAGGTGGTTGTGGATCTTATCTCCTTGGTCCCGCCCCCAGACATCTGGGTTGGGGACCAAAAACAGCAGCTCTGTATCTGCAAAGTGTGAGGGCACTCTGGGTGATGTGCTGTGCGGGAAGCAGGGTGGGCAGCCAGGAGAGGGGCCCGGGGCACGGAAGGGTGGGCCGCCACCTGCTCCTGCCACCCAGTCTCATGTCCACCTCCCACGGAGGGCCATGACGCCAGCGGCGCCCGTTGGTGATGACCTCCTCACGCCTGGGACCTAGACGAGGAGGTCTCCACCGGGGCCCGCTGACTCTCCCTTTCCCGCTTCCCATCCCTCTTCTCACCAATTCGGTCCGGGCCACTCCACGCACGCGACGAGGCTCCGCGGCGCGTCCTCCGCGGCGGCCGGGCTAAGAGGACAGCGCGGCGCCGGCAGAGGCAGACTGTCAGGTCCCCTTCCCCGCCCATTGCCCAGCCCCCGGAGGAGGCGGGGACGGCCGGCCTGGACCGAGGTGGCGCGGCAAGGACGCACCGGCGGAGAGGTGCGGAAGGCAGACCCGGCGCGGACGCCCGCGGACTCGGCAGTCACGTGGCTCCCCGGGCGAGCGACGCGGCTGCCCAGCAAACGCTCCACCGCCCCCTTGGCCGCCCTTCTTTTTCTTGATTGGCTATCCTGGGCAGAAGGGACCACGCGGCCCGATTCTGTGGGAGGTTCCCCGCCGCGCAGGCGGTGATTCATCGGCGTGGTGTTACGGGTTCCCGGCTTTAGCAGGGAGAAGGGAGTGAGGATGACGCATCGGGAGAGACGAGGAAGCTCTGCCTGGGGCTGTAAAATGCCCTGCGTTTGCGAGCGGCGACGTTGTCATCCACAACTCCTTGGGACCCCGTTTCCTTCCACGTACACGCGGAAACTGAGGCCCTGATGTAAAAGGCGGGCTAGAATGTTAGGGGCTTTTGCCCCAGTACTGCTCGTTCTCCACCGAAGATCCCAGTAACCAGAGGCTCTTTTAATAAATATAAAAATGCAATTCCAACCCTTGTTTAATGCTCATAGCAGCTTTACCGTTGGTGCTGTGTGGTTCTTTTATGGGTGAGGAAATGAGACTTAAGGATGGCAGGTGAGAGCCCACAGTTAGTACTGATCCCAGTGGTCTCTGACCGCAGAGCCCATTCTTAATGACCACACTTACTGTCCTGTTCAGATGTAAGAATCCACTTCTGTCCTTGCAGGTAGTCTGGTCAACTTTAATAATGGCTATCATTTTCTCCCTTTGTAATGCATACATGTTAATCCGTATTACAGAGAGCAAATTCTGAGTATTGTTACTTTAGCAAGGTCTTGAAGCCACAAGTAGTGAATTCTGAGGTGGAACGGAAGTGGCTTTCCAAGTAGGAGCTCTCAGATGCCGAAACTGAGGAACACGCAGCGGTAACCCCCCCACTCCCCCACCCCAGAGGAAGGTGCTAGAGGAAAGCTTCAGACCAGCCTCAGGTGCCCCTCTCCCTCCCAGGTGAGCACCCCAGGCCACCCTCGGATGGTTTGCCCGGCTCCCTGCACATCACACACATCCCTGAGGACTGCAGAGCTGACTTTGGTCCACCCCACCTCCCTGGCCTTCACTGGCTCTCTAATGTTCTGCAGCTGGAATCTGAGGGAGGAAACAGATAAACAATCCCTGCTAGCAGAGAGCTGGCTAATAATCTGTTTTTCTGTGATAACAGCAGGTCAGTAACCCAGTCTCTCAGCATGTATTGTCCATCTCATTACCCTTTCTGTCTGAGCCTGGGCATTTTCCCTCCTGTTCGTCTCAGGTCTTGTGGAGTTGGCTGGCAGCCTGAGTGCCACATACTTTAGCCATCAGCCGTGGCTCTGTCCCTAAAGCCCATCCAGAGTGACTAACGTTCGAGCTGGGGCCACCATGGGCCAATGAAGGCATTTCAGGTGAGGGACCATGTCAGGCTTCTTGTCAGCACTTCCTGACACTTTTTCCTCCCGGGTTGGACAGATCACTGCTCTGAGGTCCTACTGGACCCTGAACTGATTCCCACTATCTAATAGGCTATTCTCAATGTGCCATTTGGGATTCATTTTCTTGACTCTTAATTTTTTACCCTTTTTTAAAATTTAACTTGATTGTTTTATTTATTTACATTCATTCACTGTACATCAATACAGGGATCGACGAGGGTGCCGCCCCCTTGGCCGCCCTTCTTTTTCTTGATTGGCTATCCTGGGCAGAAGGGACCACGCGGCCCGATTCTGTGGGAGGTTCCCCGCCGCGCAGGCGGTGATTCATCGGCGTGGTGTTACGGGTTCCCGGCTTTAGCAGGGAGAAGGGAGTGAGGATGACGCATCGGGAGAGACGAGGAAGCTCTGCCTGGGGCTGTAAAATGCCCTGCGTTTGCGAGCGGCGACGTTGTCATCCACAACTCCTTGGGACCCCGTTTCCTTCCACGTACACGCGGAAACTGAGGCCCTGATGGAAAAGGCGGGCTAGAATGTTAGGGGCTTTTGCCCCAGTACTGCTCGTTCTCCACCGAAGATCCCAGTAACCAGAGGCTCTTTTAATAAATATAAAAATGCAATTCCAACCCTTGTTTAATGCTCATAGCAGCTTTACCGTTGGTGCTGTGTGGTTCTTTTATGGGTGAGGAAATGAGACTTAAGGATGGCAGGTGAGAGCCCACAGTTAGTACTGATCCCAGTGGTCTCTGACCGCAGAGCCCATTCTTAATGACCACACTTACTGTCCTGTTCAGATGTAAGAATCCACTTCTGTCCTTGCAGGTAGTCTGGTCAACTTTAATAATGGCTATCATTTTCTCCCTTTGTAATGCATACATGTTAATCCGTATTACAGAGAGCAAATTCTGAGTATTGTTACTTTAGCAAGGTCTTGAAGCCACAAGTAGTGAATTCTGAGGTGGAACGGAAGTGGCTTTCCAAGTAGGAGCTCTCAGATGCCGAAACTGAGGAACACGCAGCGGTAACCCCCCCACTCCCCCACCCCAGAGGAAGGTGCTAGAGGAAAGCTTCAGACCAGCCTCAGGTGCCCCTCTCCCTCCCAGGTGAGCACCCCAGGCCACCCTCGGATGGTTTGCCCGGCTCCCTGCACATCACACACATCCCTGAGGACTGCAGAGCTGACTTTGGTCCACCCCACCTCCCTGGCCTTCACTGGCTCTCTAATGTTCTGCAGCTGGAATCTGAGGGAGGAAACAGATAAACAATCCCTGCTAGCAGAGAGCTGGCTAATAATCTGTTTTTCTGTGATAACAGCAGGTCAGTAACCCAGTCTCTCAGCATGTATTGTCCATCTCATTACCCTTTCTGTCTGAGCCTGGGCATTTTCCCTCCTGTTCGTCTCAGGTCTTGTGGAGATGGCTGGCAGCCTGAGTGCCACATACTTTAGCCATCAGCCGTGGCTCTGTCCCTAAAGCCCATCCAGAGTGACTAACGTTCGAGCTGGGGCCACCATGGGCCAATGAAGGCATTTCAGGTGAGGGACCATGTCAGGCTTCTTGTCAGCACTTCCTGACACTTTTTCCTCCCGGGTTGGACAGATCACTGCTCTGAGGTCCTACTGGACCCTGAACTGATTCCCACTATCTAATAGGCTATTCTCAATGTGCCATTTGGGATTCATTTTCTTGACTCTTAATTTTTTACCCTTTTTTAAAATTTAACTTGATTGTTTTATTTATTTACATTCATTCACTGTACATCAATACAGTGTACAAAATGAGATTTTCCATCCAGAATACATTGTATATTGGCTCAATCAAGGATATTACTATACATGTTATCATCAATAATTCTCTACTTCTTATATATTATACTGGAGGAGTCCAACCCGGTGGGGCTCCAGGACCCATTTGAGCCCCTTGACCTTTGAGCATCGCTTCCGGTCGGTTCAGTGAGTTGGCAAGGCCACGACTGTACACCCCCCCGACCTTGGAACAAGCTTGGGTAACTTAGCATGTTGGCAAGGCCGCCTGCTATTTGCTCCGGGACTGTGATAGCCTTGCTGGGAAATGACCCCCCCTCTGACTCCCCGATATACTACTATAAAAGAATTACATAGCTCCCTCATACATTTTGAGTGTGTGGTAGGATTTCCCGAAAAGTCCCCCAACTGCTTCCCCCAACTGCTCCCCTTTACCCTGACCACTTACTGTTAATCACAGTGCTTCATTGGGCACAATAAAGGGTGTGCTAAAGTTCTTCCTGATCTTTGGAAGGCCCTTCAAGACACATTTAATATAAATAATCTTTTCACGTACAATAGGACTAGGCTGAAACTGGCCCAGGACGCTCTCGTCCCATGGTAACTAATGTTCTAACAAAATACAGAACAGTGGTGCCATAGGCTACACAAGTGTATCCACAACACCATAAACCCATTTTAAAGTTTTTCATTAACTTATTAATCACTTCACCACCAGTTGAAAAGGCTGTATCCCCGCCCTCATCAAGTGAACACTAACTCCATCCCTTCAGGATAGGTAAATATATTAAGATTCCTTAAGTTTTAAATCCCTATAGAATTATATAAGTATCATTCTTTATGAAAATCCATAAGAACTAATATCTATGCTTGAGATTTTCTTTTAGTAATCATAAGATGGCTGCTGCTGAACATCGGTTGCTAGTTAACTCTGCTTGCTGGAATTGTTTCCTGAAACCGCACTGCTTGAAGTTACCAGGAATCTGCTTTCATCAATCAAACAATTGTTGAACTGTATCGATGATTAATAGACCTGCCCTTAATCAAACCCTGAATGGTTTCTATTGTTAAAACTTTATGAATTGATGATTAGTACACATAGCACCTCTCCCATTTACTTGCATGTATCACATTTTCAATAAAAAGGCACAATGATTCCTAACAGTTGTCACTCCTCAGAGAGCGATCTCTGGGAGTGTCCGGCTGAGGACGTGCATGAAAAGGCACCGAGACCTTAGTCTTCCTTTCCTTCCAGCGCCGCCTCCGTCGAGCCAACCCACCCCCGCCGAGGCTGGTCCCTGGCATTATACTTTTTTGTCCCCTCTTGATTCCCTACCTCTCACCCTCTGCCAGTTTCCCTCACTCACTGTCTTTGGTATCCACAGTTGTTTTCCATGTCTTTTTATTTTTGGAGAGGTTTTTGCTGTAGGGCGCATGCGCTGGCCAGAAAGACAAGAGAGAGACAGAGAGACAGAAAGCGAGAAATCACCCCCCAGGGGGGATGGCAAGGCCGCAATCCCTTCTCCTCCATGAATGGGGCCCATTCAGAACTCAGATATAGATAGCTGCTGATTGGCTTGTCCTATGGGGACAGGGTGAAAGATAAGAATTAGCAAGACAAAAAGACGGCAGAGATCTAAGAAGTTTAACAAAATTTTTTTAATTAAAAAAATTAAAAATTGAGAGAGAGATGAAAGAGACAGAATACATAGGGTGTTCTGAGCTGGCTCCTAGCTAGATCTGGGGGGAGGAGGGTGAAGTCTGGGGCAGAAGGTCTTCTGTGGTCCTAATCCCTAAATTGATTGTTCTTGAAAGTAGGTTAACAGGAAGTAAA